CCTATGAAGCGGTATATAAGTCTACTGTTATTGCTATTGCTATTATTGCTAAATAATCGCGGACCAGATGGTGATAAGTTGACCGTTCCTTCATCTCCGGGGGGGGGGGGGATTTACCTGTCTCGTACAAAGTTATCAACAATATCCCTCGCGTGGACGTCAATGATGAGAACCGAGTTGTATTTCTTCCTGTCGTTCTTGCTTAGCGGCTTGGTGATCCGGGTCACCAGCGAGTCAATCTGCTGGTGCATTTTCTTGGCGTAGACCTTCATGGCTTGTTTCTCCCCTTTCTTAACCTTCCGGAAGACGTCTTCGACCTCCCAGGTCCACCACACCTGGTTGGCTGCCAGCACCATCATGCCCTGATACATCAGCATCCAATCGACTCTGCGGAAAAGGCAGATTTGCAAGGGTGGCAGGGATAAAGACATTTTGTCTTTGTCTTAATGTTTGGAGCTGTAAAAATGCAGGTGTTAAAGGGAAGTATAAAATAATAATAATAAGAGAATGAGGCGCTCGTCTCTGTTTCAAAGCCAAAGAGCCAGCGCTGTCCGAAGACGTCTCCGGGGTCATGTGGCTGGCAGGAGCCACATGACCCCTAGGAGAGAGAACAAGGACGTTCTAAGAACTTGCCTTGGCTGCTACTAAGGTAAAGGTTCCCCTTGCACATAGATGCTAGCCGTTCCTGACTCTAGGGGGCGGTGCTCATCTCCGTTTCAAAGCCAAAGACCCAGCACTGTCCGAAGACGTCTCCGTGGTCATGTGACTCAACGCCGAAGGTTCACGGAACACTGTTACCTTCCCGTCAAAGGTGGTTCCTATTTCTCTACTTGCATTTTTTAATGTGCTTTCGAACTGCTCAGTTGGCAGAAGCTGGGACGAGTCACAGGAGCTCACTCCGTTACGCGGCGCTAGGGATTCGAACCGCCAAACAGCCGACCTTTCTGATCGACAAGCTTAGTGTCTTTAGCCACTGAGCCACCTGCTATTGCTAAGTACTAATAATATAGACCTCAACTGAAGTTTGGGGAGCAGACTGAAGAGCTGTATCTTTGGACATTGGACTGTCAAGTGTCATAAGGTTCTTGGGAGGACCAACAATACTGGTGGCCTTGATTGATTGATTGATTGCTTTTATTTATAGGCCGCCCTTTTCCCTGAGGGGACTCAGGGCGGCTTACAACCTATAGGGAGGGGATACACGTAATGACATATACAGACAATACAAAATTAAAAATAGAAGCAAGGCGGGCCTTGACTTATTCTCCAAAG